GATCTTCCTGTGTAATCATTGATAGCACTGATTTTGTAGGAAGGCTCATGCCTGGCCTTCCCAAGGATTCAGCAGCTTTTAACAGAAGTTCCGGTGGAAGACTTTTACGATGTTTCCGCCATCGTCTTGGCACATTCATTGTTGTCTGCTCTGATTGAAACGGGAGTTTTAGGATTCTTGGTCCGCCTCTTCTATACTTTGGTGGGAGAGGTATCCTTTTGAGTGATCGCGCCACAACGTTGTCCAAGGAAAGTGGTTCACGAATGAACCACTACTGTTCCAAAGCGTGAGTACCGGCCTCATGACTATCGTGGAAAGGAATTGCTGGCACGCCATATATAAAAATGGTGCTTAGACAATCCAGCTTTCTATACCCATCTGTGATGTTTCTTTTCGATTATCGCGTGCTCCAAGTGATCTCAGGAGAGATGCGTAAATTACAAGGACTGTGTTGTTATGTACTTGCTGAGTGTAAAAGGTTTTCTACCTCAATGGCCGATTCCAGGGTTACTCTAAGAAATCTGGGTTCGGTGTGCAGAGATAGGGTGATGAGCAACTCTCAGATTTGTGAGTTTAGCTCTTACTTTCATTAAAATGTACAGTGAGTTAAACTGGTCTTTGTCGTCAGACATCTTACACCGCAATGTGATGGCGGTAGGTCCGGGGACCTGGCTTTATGCCAGGTGATGATAGACTACTTTTTGTCGCCCCATTGGAGTTAGCGGTGTTTGCAACGGAGGAGGCACTAAATGTAGCATCCCGAAGGACTTTTGCAGCCATCTCTACATATGTGACTGGAATCTCGAAGGATTTGAACTCGACCAGAGAAACTTGGGTTGCAGATGCAGTAGACGCGTTCAGCTGTCCCATCCTTGTTAATGATTATGATATATTATATTATTATCCAACACGACCAAAGTACAATTGGCAGTGCTACAACACATAGTTAACAACAACCAAAAGGGAAAACCGGGTACTTAGTTAACGGGTTTTGAAATTTTGTTAGGTTAATCTGTTGTGTGGGCAGAGATCTTCTCAGTTGCCCAGGCTGAGGAAGAGGCTTTACTTAAACGGCCCTACGCGCAGCCTTCAGTCTACAGACCTAACCCACAATGCAGCAGGGCGATTATCGAAAAGCGTTGACATCCGAGTGGCTCCTTTGCCTTTTTTATGTTCAGTAGCAGTCCACAGAGAAGCCAGTGACTAACAAGTTTTTCATCCACCCTCCGTTAGTAACTCACTCATGGTTACAGTAGTCAGTGGTCAGCGATCCTTTAACCGGACACATTGGCCTTGACACAGCGCCGCAGGAGCTACTGTGCTATTTGATGGAAAACTTTGTGACCAACCCAGAACTCCTCACTATCTGAGACGCTGCCGCTGATTGTCCGCGACTGCTTATCCATCTCGCCTGCAAGGCAAACGAGACTTATCCGCAGTTAACTCCATAAGGAAGGCATTCCCTAATCCGCAATCTGGGTAGCGCCCGATAGCGTACAGCTCCGCCACGGGCTTGTTAATGATACAAGTTGTCAAAAGCGGCTGAATTTGATCGGCCACGCGTTTCGAATGTTGCCTGCTTTTCGGCGTCCAGAGTACCGTATGTCCATCCGAGCAACGGTCTGTTTTCACTTGGTGTTCTTCCAAAATTGGAGAAGATAACAGAAATGGGAACCTTGTCAATTGTGGTTCGAGGGAATCAAAATTTGCACCACTTCGCTTTAAAGCCACTGTGTTATCATGGTGTATACTCATGTCCAGTGATATAATCTTTGCGTTCGTTCGTCGTCCAACTTTTTCTGCTAATCCTTCACACTTTTGAACTAGGAGAAGTATATATTTGACTAGTGGAATAACCGAGCACGCAGTACAAATGCAGGTATCGTCTTAGGAGCTGTTTCGCTATCTCACGTTTTGTTGAGAAAGAGTTGCACATTTTGTATGGGACCATCTGAGAGAGTGTGAGTAAGGTAAACCAAATTTGAGTTATCGGTTATCTACGACGAATCCACATCTACTCTTCGACTGGAGCCTTTTGGATTCGCATCAAGTTGCTTCTTGCTGCTGGGCATCGTTTTGCTACCTTACACAGTAGGCCGGTTGACGTTGTGTACTGTTCCGACTGGCTGGTTGCGCCCCCTAGTCAGACGGATGGATGGGTCCACTTCGTTTCTTGGTCACATATTGCCTTGTAGAGTGACGGAGAACGCGCTAAGACCGACCTGCCAGGACTTGAAACGGACGCACGCAGGTTTCAGTTCACACGCCGGTCCAAACGCCGCACTGTCAGGTGACTGCCGGTGTGAGTTTTGAGCCTGTTTACTGGACGGAGCACTGGTCGCGACAGGGCGCGGTTGACACGACTGCAGGGTAGATCGGTCGTCGTCAAACGATAAAATTAGTCAGCCGATACGAACGACTAGCTGACCACTTTCCAAAACAGGTAAGACGATTTAGATGATAGGGCGATGGGATTATTCCTACGTTTGCGATCCACTGTGTAGAGTTGGGAATTTCTTGTCGGATACTTGGAGTTGGGCGACGTGTGAGGAAATGCGGAGAGCAAATCCCACTACCAGGCGGATCACAAAATGATTGAAAAAGATTTGCGCAGTTTCCACAAAGACTGATAGATTTCCTTCCAATTTTTTCTGGTGACGGAAAAAGCACACAAAAAACAATAGAATGGTATATGATAAATCCAAGTCCGTTAAGATTGCACATAAAACCTACAAGTTGTATAAATTGCCGGCGCTTTGGTTTTGCGTCCATTTGTCAGTGAGCCTGGTTGATGTCTTGTCAAAACTATGACTTCTTTCCACTGAGCTGGCACGGGGCCGGTATTCCTGGACTGATTGAACATAAGCAGCAACAGCAGGGAGATATCATCCCTGCCCAAGTTCACAACTACGGAGGGAATATTGTCTGGACGCTTAATTAGAATACTTTTAAGCGTCTGCTAAATTCGTGTATACCGCGTAGCTCAAATTTAATACAGTTGAGCTGATCCATTATGACTGGTGGCAAGACCATACAGAATAGTTTAGCATCCACGTTGAAGGAGATACAGAAGTATTGATTAAACATTATGCTACTTTGAGCAGGGTCTGTGTCCTCGCAGCCATCTGAAGCTACGAGTGAGAAGGCGTCTTGGATACGCTTGGTAGTTCGACCTTTTAAAAGACCGATCAGTTCACGATTTTTGAATCAACTTTCGACGGTTGGTTTTTCATCCGCAGTTTGTTTGGCAGTTAAAGCCAGCTTCAGCGACGGGGTTAAATTGGGGTGTTACATCAAGAATAAGAAGCTATTCGTTTTGCGAGAGGTTGTATGTAGCTTTTTGAGCTTAGCAACTATTACTAGTGAAATAATCTTATCGGTAACTTAGAGAACGTTTCTATGTTTTATTTGAGCCAGTGTGTCGAGAGAGAGTTGTGTTGTTTGATAGAGCACCAGCTACGGCTTGAGGGCCGTCGCTAAGGAATAAAATTCTCATTGAACATATCCGAGTAAATTAACAAACGAGTCCAAATTAACTAATTCAAAATGCCTTGAGAGCATTTGTGACTTGGCGCGGCCGTTATTTCAGTCGGGTGTGATTTGTGAGTAAAAAGCAGACCAACTAGTGGTGACTGCCAGGAAAGGGATCTAGTGTTAGGCCAGTGTTAAATTGGTTATTACTTCTGGTTGGATTTGTAACATGCGGTGTCCATCCGTATGTATTAATGATGAAATCAGATTTGCATAACTGGTAGGCACATGGCTTGAGATGAAAGAAACATCGGGTAGTAAATGAAGTTTTTCATTGATCTGGAAAGTGACTTGATCCCGATGAAATGGAAACGTCTTCAAAAACCAATGACATATTGGGCCCTGACAATTTTGTATCAGATGGGGGAATGCCATCGGCACCCAGAATGAAGGAGGGTTGAAGAATACATTGTCTGGTTGATAATAAGAGGCGTGATGTCAATTTTAGATAGAGTGCTATTCATTTGCACATCCATCCGTGCATTTATAGGGACAGTCTCTAGGTTCATGGCGGTTGCAAAGAACGATCTAAATGATTCACGGATTATGGCTGGGTCATGGAGTGAATAGCCGTCTTCGTCGACCAGTTCAGTGATCAAGTAGGAGGGGTTGTTGGTTTTACAACGCAAAGTTTGACTAACTCTTTTGCTTTTCATTTCGTTCATGGGTTCTTTTCAGTTCATTTATTCTCCGCATTGACTGGTCTGCTTAACTTCAGTGGTAAATTTGCACCTCTACAGGATCAGCATAAAATCCCCTGTTAGTTTACTTCGCGATCAGTTTGCTGGATTTCTGTATGACCGAATATCCGGATGCGCCCATTTGAGTTTAATTGATTCGCTTGTCTTGTGGAGCAAAGAGGGTCATAACTTGATGAAGCTGATGGTAGAAATGCTCCACGACTCTGCATGAATGGAAGCATCCAAAATAGAAGATCGGATTAACTGTGGGTAGTGTTCCTAGTTTATCCTCTGGATTGCGGAATGGGGAGAGAGGTGTTAAGTTACAATTTTTACACTGAAGATGAGGCGTATCAGTTTTTAGCGGGTACCGAGGAATCTTGGTCTGTGTGTTACCGATACCCCAGCTAAATATCAGGTCTAATTTATTAGTCCATCTACTTGGCTTATTAGCACAGTGTGTCCGGTCACCAACTGCGAGAGGAGAATGGAAGGCAGGGTGTATATATAACGATAGCTAGGAAGACCAGGGCAATTTTGGTAGGTTATAGTCACATGCTATTACCTTATGTCTGTATGGCATTTCTGATACTAATTCGATAGTGAAGGGACCTGGGCAACACTCGGTTGATGAACTCGGTGGGTTGTAGATACATCTAACTAAAAGAGAAATAACATGTAGTAAGTTCATTGGGACAAGTTTTATCAATTGCCATGTTTTTTGCTGCGGGTGGTTTCATATCCTCAACGGACGTTACCCTGAACCGCTAATTCATTCTTTCTTTGCAGAGGAACTTATACCTGTGTTCAAAGAGCTCATTCGAGAACCCAATGGGGCAATCTTTATCCATCTCTGGCGGCCACAAAAGCAGGATTGGTGGGACTCATACGACATCATTGAGGTGAATAAAGGGAAGATGGTGAGAAGCATCAGTCTGCAGTCACGACTGGCATACTGGAAGGAATCCACTTGTGCAAGCTGTTCCTACATGGCTCGCTTATGCAATCAAACTTTATGTGCATACACTTCGGTGCATACACCAAGCAGCTCGTCCAGTAAGTTAATATTTTAAACTACGATATCATAAATCGTTCCAAAACGCCTAGATGAAGGTACCGAATCTGGATAGATCAAGAGTATGTGAAAGGGGCAGTTACCTGTCTGCCAATGTTGTTGGGTCTGAGCATTCGAATGGGCCCACGAATGGATCTATGTGTGGAATGGCTCAGAGGTAGATGTCTTGTAGTCTTGCAGTCACATTTAGCTTCGGAATTGGAAGTATTTGCACTTGGTCTAGTGGCTTCGACTTGAGTCTTCGGGCAGTTGGTTGATTTCATTCACCTTAGGGATAGGAACAAGCACCCATTCGAGTTTCCGTTCTTTGGAGCCGTCTCTATCCTTTAATTTTGCTTTTTATACGTCAGCTGTAAAAAACACGGTTAAAATGTGGTAGGCACCATTAAAGGACGAATGACAGTTTGAACAATGCCGGTAATGGAGATACGGGCAACTCTGAGAACATCTGAACTTTTCACGTGAGCAATTGAGTACGAGGCGTAATTGCACGGTTGTTCTAAATGATGCGTTTAGTTAAAATCACAGTCCTATGGAAAAGTCACACAAACGACCAGTGTTGCTGTTCAAAAAAGGTCGAATAGGCTAATCTGCTACCGCTCTCATATTAACTATATCAACATTACTGCCAGTACATTAGAAAAGTGGTACTGATTCTTTTCATTCCTTGTACAGCTGTGGATATTCCTGTCATAAATAATGTTGAAGTGGACCCAGTTTCACAGAAAATGAAAGTGAATGTCCTACAGAACGTCGGTATTCTGTCATATATGGCCATCAGTACCTACCGAGGCAGCGTGGCTGGTTTTGCTCGGTTCAAAAGATCAGGTGATTGGATTCATCTCCAAGCAGGCACTGGCCATCATTTGCAAGTACGAGCGTTCAATGGTACACACTACAGTGCTTTCTCAACAGAGTGGCCTATTCCACGTGAGTCGACACTGAGTGGTATAAAGAATTTATTTTAACAGCTGTCATTTGTCATCCGTGGTAAAAACAATCTACTCATTGGACGCAATCATGCAAGCGTCATTATTCTACCGAATGTTTTGAACCGGGTCGAGACGGTCCCCCGCTTAGTACCAAAAGACAAAATTCGGGAAACCTGGACATCTGCTCTGGAACAGGATCTAGCCTTCCTGATTCTACCAAAGTGTTCAGCAAGCATCCCTCAGCTATTTCATTTACGAATGTCTCAGAAACGGTGCTCTAACCAGTGGTTAAAAATGACCGACAATATCAAGCTTCTACAGCGTGAGTTTTATGTAGCTGTATCTAGTCATTATTAAGAGTACTCGAAGCTTGTGTCGTGGACGGAGATGTTGAGTTGGTCTCCTAATTGGGCCTTTCGTTTTGCAGACAAACTTCCGTCATTGTGAAGCCTCAATCTTTTTGTCTCCCTTGTAAATGGGTAGCTTTATGTCATTTTCTTGCGACAAGGCATTATCATACAATACATACAAGTTGTCTTGATTTATTTACAAAAGTTTATTATAAATTTCATTTTAGGC